TTCTTCTTATCCTTTCTGTGAATAATGATTAGGATGACTATTCAACTTTAACTTTTACGATCGGAAATGATTTAATATTATCCTCTGTTATACTATCGATTTATATATATTTTTAAAGTTATATTATCGGTTCACATTATCATATATGTCCCTAAGATTATACAATCGGTTTATATATGACACGCGTTTCCAAAGTTTTACATATAGATTGATGGGAATTCAGTAACTTTTGCTCATATCACTGATATCAGTATTAAAAAATCTCTAGATATTTATAAATATTTGATTGGAAATCCAACTATTATTGTAAATTAATTCAAGATTATTATACGCGATATTCATGTTTGTTTTTTCAAATTCTGAATCTACCGTTGTATGGAATCGATGTCATTAATTAGTATTAAAAAATTAATCCACTAAATACTTGTAAATACTTGAACGAAAATCTAACTATTATTGTAAATTAATTCAACATTATCATACGTAAAATTTAATTTTTTTTAAAAAAAATCTTGAATTCACCATTGCTTGGACAATCGATATCATTAATTATCAGTACGTATATAGAATTACCTTGTGAAGCAAGTTGCCCATGAATGCATATAAATGTTGAAATTTTGTCACTAAATTGTCAGCATCGTGCAATCTTTGTTAACTCGTCAGTACGTAGTCATGAATATTGCATGTATTTGCCCAATTCAAAGACAATTCATAGCGTGTTGACGTGATTTTGGGAAACTAATTCACTTCTTGGTCTTTTTTTATTTTTTTTATGTTCGACATTTATATCGAGATTTCTGATAAATACTAATTTCATATCAGATTGCAGGTTTCAATCAAGACCTCTAATTAAAATGAGGAAGTACTTACCATTTCACCATTTTCTTTATTGGTTTAAGTGTTTGCTCTTTGATACAACAATACATATATTTAGTGTATAGTAGGGTCTGGGAAGAGTACTGATGTATGTAATCTTAGATAGAAAAACTGTTTATTAGACCATCGACCCAACTAAAACATATCAAAATCAAGTATTAAAAAATATACCGTAGTGAAAAGACACACTAAAATAAAAACGAGAACAGAACAGTTACAAAAACTTATTAAATAATATAGTAATCGAAACACAGGAACAACAAGTAATTATAATTAAAAATCAAAGAATAAAAGAGTGAGAGAGTAATAATATTGGTCATAATTGGTAGAGAAAACGATAAATGATTAAATATTTTGATTGGCAACTTTTAATAAACAATTAATTAGAATCAGTGGATAAAATTAAGCATCTTATCTTCACGATCGAAGAAATGCTTGCATCTGCATGTACGTAGACATTTGGCACTTAAATTCATAATTGCACTGATAAATACTTATGTACAATTTATTTTAGATCATAAATTTAAAAATATATATTTTATTTTTATATTACGTATTTAATTAAATACCATCATATAAATTGAGACAGAAATACAAGTAAATCTATGTTCTATAAGCTTTAGCTACTTGACATTAATGTGGTCCTCTCCCAAATGGTCAAATGGACATTTTTTGATCAATTAAATTATTAAACCAATAAGGGTGAGAGTTGAGTTTGAATATAATAAATCAACCCCCACAAGGGAAAAAAGAAGTGTATAATTTTCAATCCAAGCTAGTGTGGTTGAAATATTTTAACTAAAGCTTCCACATAATAATTGATGCCTCTTCAAACTAATTAAGGTGAGCCTATCCTTTTAGGGTTTGCCATAATGTTAGAGCTAAGGTTAGACCTTAGGTGAGCCTAGTCACACATCGATTGATTCCACGAATAAATCAAATAATAGTTTTATCAAAATTTGGACAGATGAAAAGAAAGCATTAATTAGTGTTTTTTGCCTTCACTGTTGTTGTTGCTCTTGGATTACCCATCTTTTTATTCCCCTTCGCTTGTCTTGGTGAGATCAGATTTTTAAAATGAATTTCTCCTGATCTCTTTCTTTGTTTCGTTCTTCTTTTATATTGTCACTTAGCTTGAATGAATACACTCGATGGCCGGACTGTATATATGCGCGCAAGTTACCAATTAATGATTAATTACATTATAATTTGGATACTTATATATTAGTATACTATTACTCCATCAAACATATTGAAGTTATTAAGTAGTATAAGTAATTAGTTTGGTAATTCTGAAATTTTCAAATATCCTTGTGTAGTTTCAAAATTGATACTACATTTTAATAATATGTACTATTATTATTACTATATATTAGTTTGCACATTTCTCTATCATTCCTTTTCTTCTTTTTATTTTAATTCTTCTAAGCATCAATTATATGATCAGATGTCAACTTAATTATTATCTCTATTATTAGTTGTTTTATGAAATTATAAGATATGTGCTAATTAAAGTCAATGGAGACTCGAGAGGCCACTTATTATTATCTAAATTAAGTTTGAATGTACAATAATTGTCAATACTTATCCAACAAAATCATAAATTAAAAAAATGTTAGTAACAACATTTTTTTACAACTATTGATTTAACAATTAACAATGTTTGTTCATCGTTCAATGTGCTAGCTAATTAGAAAATACATCAAATTAATTTAGTGGAACTATTTTAGTCCAATAAGTATCAAATCTAGCTTTCGAATTCTTTGGTTGCTTGTTGAAAATTAGTTAACTTGGCTATCAAGGGATGCATTTGAAATTGTGATTTTTTTTGGTTTTCATTTAACGGGTCATACATGTTACGAACTTAAACAATTAGTCGAAACCAAATTCTATTGAATATCGAATGATTATTAAAACAAACTAAAACATTATGCAAATACATGATACAAAATAATTGTGTAGAACTTATTCACTCGGTGTTTATATCAAATCATAGTAATTTATTACAGTTAAGTGATAAGTTAATCTTAGAATATGTACTACTTAACTATAATTAGTAGCAATCTTAAGTTCTTTTATTCGGTATAATCATCTTATATTCGAAATTCATTAGTCGAACTAATCCAAATTGTGAATATATAGCTAGCTTCATAAATAACAAACGAAAAAAGTACTAAAAAGAAGAATATGAAGCAGAAAGAAGTTCTTTCTCACATGTAGAAGTGGAGCCAGTATTTAAGATACAAATTTATAAATTGTTTGAATTTATAAGTTTTAAATTTTGATTCCACTTTGATGTACGATTGAATATTAATGTTTTTGTTTACTTTCATATGTAAATGCAAGGCCCGCTTTAGTAGACTGTACGAAAGACATTGCATATTAATTGTCTTGACCAAAAATAGGTAGCAAAGAAAGAAAAAAGGAATTTTTGAGTAATATATATATAAAAGAGAAAATATGGACCTTTTTCCAAACAGGAATAGAAATTTTCAAGAAAGACAAAAGACCAGTTTCTCTCAAGATAGACTAAGAAACAATATGCTAGCTCGAATAATGAATAATTCATCTAGACCAAGTAGTAGTCATCAGTTGGATGAACTAATAGATGTAGATAGAGACATAGAAATATTCAAACAAAATAAACTAAAATTATTAAATTCACAAGTTCTCTATAATACAAGATTTTTCTCGTCAACAACACATCTATACATACATTATAGAGAAGAACAGTTGAGTGTATCAGAAAACGATAGTGAAAGTATAAATTGTATATATATATATATATATATATATATATATATATATATTAAAAAATATAATTTCCACAGTGTTATGTGTTTTGTGACGTTCATGATGGAGGGCGGATTAATGAAGACAAGTCAGAAACATGTTTTAAGATAGATAAACTTGTAAAATAAAGAGTACACACAACACTTAGACATTAATCTTTGCATTAAAACAAAAGATAAGGTACATAATACAAATTTATATATATGATAGACAGTTTTAAACTCGATAATGACATAGTCCATAATGGACGAATTGATAAAGTCTATTGGGTCAAAATCGGACAATACATATCATAAATTTGGAGTTTGGACTATGCCATTTTCTATTTTACCTGTCTCTGCGTGCATAAATTCTTTAAACAAGGTACGAATAAAGTTCAAATTATATGAAAAACACACCATTAAATGAAGTAACAATATAATTAATGTGTCTGAATTGCTTTAATTTTTAACATCGTTAATTAACTCTTCAACACATCTAAACAATATGGTTAATTAGATACTCCTATTAGAATAGTACTTAAAATTACGTGGTAATTAAAGAGAATATCCTTTGTTATGTTTTGTTGAAAGATGATAAAAGAAAAGAGCTTGAAAGTCCTTTTGTGGAAAAAGGAAAAAAGAAATTTACTTGGATTCAATATTTACAGTAAATCAACAATAACCATATCTAATTATCTAGTATAATTTCATAAGTGAAATCTGTGAATTTCTCATCGACATAGAAAAATCATTTGCAATAGACTTTTGATTAAATAAAGTATCTTAAATTAGTTTGAAAAGAAGAATACATAAATAAAAACAGTAACAACAACAGAGATAAAGAACTAGCTATGAAAAGAAGTACATAACATACATAAAAAGAACAGTAACAACAATGAATTATCTAATGTGATAATAATCGAAGCACAAATGGTAACAACAATCAACGAATAAGAAACTACAACAATAGTGTTACTCCTATTGATAAAAAGATACAGTAGGAACATAAACACACACTTATATTCTATCATGCTCGAAAGCGAGAGAACGTTCAACTATCAACTAGCATTCTACTCAAATCAACGACCTCCAAAATCTCATATCTAAAGTCATGACCTCGTTAAATTCAAGATGCACCATATTTTGTCTAATCTCCTCCCCTCGATACTTTCCAAGACATGTCTCTAATAAATATTTCAAAATTACTAATCACGAAATCAAATACAAAATAAAATTATTTTTCGTATTATCGCTTTAGTATTACTCGATCCAAACAACCCCTTATTTGCTTTCTACATAAACCGGGTCTATATAAATAGCTACTTTTTCAGTACCGAAACATTCCCGCCAAAAATATCTTCTGGATTCTTCTTCAATACGCCTCTTCCCAATTTTTGTTTATCATCTCCGTGCAGCTTCAACTGCAACAAAGCCAACTTCCGATCATCGGTGATTCGAAATGGTAAGCATTTCTGTATTCTCTATTAACAGTAGCTTATCAATTTGTGTTCATTGATCTGTGTGTGTTTGCTTCTTTTCACGACTGTAAATACGTTGCTGGACCTAATTTCTACAGTATCGAAATCCTTAAATGAAATTCACAGGTTCGATTACAAATTTCCATATCTTTTGGTGGAAGTTTTTCGGTGATTGATGTATTTTTTTTGTAAAGTTATTTTTGTACTCCGATTAAGGTTAATATTGCAGTTTAACATCAATTTTGAATACATATGGATTTTTTTTTTATTCTCACTAATCTATGTGTGTTTGCGGCTTTGCACAACTGTTAATACGTTGCTGGATCTGATAGCACTGTGTTGAAATCCTGAAATGGAGTTTACCAGCTCCATTAGTATTTTCAGGTTTTTTGGTGGATTTTTTTCAGTAATTGATGTATATGTTCTATTGAAGTTTTTTTTGCTCTGATTAAGGTAAATACCGCAGTTTAACATCATTTTTGAATAGACATATGTGTTTGTATTTGTACACAGAGGAAAGAGTTATGTAGTTTACTGCATTAGATTCAGTGTAAGAAGTGCTTCTGTAGCCTCAATTAGTCTGCTCTCTTTGTTGTCTGATTCATGTAAGGCGAGGCTTCGTCTTATAGTTCAGTATCTGTCTCGTGCTGCTGGTGTTGTAATTAGTCAGGTGACTGTGTGGATTGTTTTCTATTTTATTTGTTCTTCAATTTTCATGTAATCCTTTTTTTTGTCTCTTTGCTTAATGTAGCTGTGGTTTATGCAAGTAACTATCTAAAAAGAACAAGACGTTTGGAGCTCTACCATACTGAGATAGCTATTTGGCTAGATAATTTAAATGAATGTAGTTTTTTAGCATTGGAAGTTGGAACAAATAAGGTGTAAATCATGTAGATCTAGAAGTCTAATTTGAACTCTAAATTCTATCCAATCCAATTTGATTGAAGTATGTCGCATTGATGCATATGATTTTGTGATATTCAGTATTCAACTCCTGTATTTTATGACACAGTCGAAGAAAAGAGGTCTTTCCTTGGATGAGAAACGAGAGAAAATGCTACAGATCTTTTATGATTCACAAGGTTTCTTCCTTGTAAGTATACTAGTTCCTTGTATACCTTTGATTTTTGCTATAAAATCATGCAAAATAACAATGGAGATCAATGACATTTAATTCAACTAGTGGTTTTAGTTTTGGTGCAAATTTGATGTCACAGTCACATCAGGTGTGGGAATCAACTAATTTCTATGTCTTATTTTGTTCTTTTACCCTGTTTTAGCGATTGATTTCCCTCGAACCGATTGTATCATGAAATCTAATATTTAGCATCATCCTGCCTATTCTTTATGTATCTGTTCTGACTATTCTTTCTGTATCTATTATGCTTTGCACCAGTGTTCATCTGTGGGTTGATAAGAATGCCTATTTAAGGGTTTTTAGTCTGGGCTTGTTAAATCTTTAGCACCATTTAAGCTAATCAAATTTAGAAGGGGATCTTTAGATGTTTACCAGAGAGCTCAAAAGTTTTGAAGTAGCTGAAAGGTTCTTGTTTGACACTGGTCTGTGATATTTCTAACCAGATAATTATCAGATAGTCAGAGAGAAACAGTCACACCCTCTCTTAGTTGTCTTCTCCTGTATAATACTGGAGATACCCTAATGACCAGGCTATTCTTGTGGTATCTGTTTTTATGTCTTCAAGAATGAGTCTCACCTTGCCTCATCCACCAAACTCTTTTCATATATAGTTGTTTTTATCCTGTTCTTTCTGACCCTCATGATCCATGATAAGATCACATGTTGCCTTCTGGAATAAGTTCAACATCTTTCGATTACTGCTGGAGTACAAATCACATTTTATTTATTTACAGTATAATTCTTCCTGCATTATGATCTAATTAGTATTAGATTTTTCAATTCGTTGTCATTTCAGCTTAAGGAACTTGAAAAGTCGGGCCCTAAGAAAGGTGTTATCAGCCAGTCAGTGAAAGACGTTATCCAAAGTTTGGTGGACGATGATCTTGTGTTTAAAGACAAGATAGGGACTTCTGTGAGTAATATCTGCTTTGTGTTATAACAGAATCGTCATTTTAATCCTTTGCTGCTAAGCATAAAGTTGATCATCTATATTTTATGTTCTATAAGCATCATCAGTATCCCTCCACACGTCTATAATCTCAAGCATGTTCGTTTTTAACAATCAATCTCAAGTATGTTAAATGACTTGCATATTCCAGGTATACTTTTGGAGTCTGCCTAGTTGTGCTGGGAACCAGGTAAGTGTTTGGATTAATCTTTGCACATGCTTGTCATCTTTATTTTCAGCTGCTTCATACATGATGTTCATTCAACAGCTGAGAACTGTCTATAGAAAGCTTGAGACTGATCTCCAGAACAATAATAAGAGGCACACTGAACTTGTTGAACAATGCAAGGCCTTGAAAAAGGGACGTGAAGAATCTGTAAGTACACCAAGTTCTATATGGTCCTCTAGGATAATCTTGACACAATTTTGTATGGAATAGGTTAACTAACAGACCGTTTCTACTTTTCTCTTGTGGCTTTACTAGGATGCACGAGAAGAGGCCTTGAATGAGCTGAAAGCTATTGAACAAAAACATAAGGAACTTAAGGTTGAGGCGTGCCTTTGATGTTTTGGAGCTTGCGAAATTAATATGATATTTAGATGAATATGGGTTAGCATTTTTATTCTGAAAAAACTAAGGTGAGATTATTTTCTTATTCAGGAAGAGTTGATGCAGTACGCTGATAATGATCCTGCTACTATTGAAGCAATGAGTAAGGAACTCTGAGCATACTTTTTAGGCTCCATCTCCAATAGTATTTACCAGACAATATGTTTTATTATTCAGCTGTCTATTTGCATGAACCAGTATGCTTCTCTTTACCAGAATGTGGGTGTTTCCTAACTTGGGAAGTTCTTTTTGGCAGAGAAGGCGATTGAAGTTGCCCATTCAGCAGCTAATAGATGGACAGGTATGACTGTTCCTGCATTATCCAGTCATTACCTTGTATGCTTCCCTTATTTCTCTCTTTCTTAACTATCATGTGCATTTTCTATACAGATAACATCTTCACATTGAGACAATGGTGTTCAAATAACTTCCCCCAAGCAAAAGAGCAACTTGATCAGCTATACAATGAGGTAAGAAGCAAAATCCATCATAAAGAGCCATGAATTTGTTTGTATAGGATTGTGAACTACTGCTTCATCATGCACCCCTTGGATATATCAGAAGAGGTTTAGAAAGTTAAGAAACTTTGCCATATTTCATATCGATTTTGCTACCATGTCTCTCCACCTTATTGACTAATGTAACACCATCAGTCATTTAAAAAAAAATCAAAGCAGAATTAGATCAACTCCCTATACTTGTAAAAAAGGAGTTCTCCCCTAGAAAGTTATACATAGACCAAATTAGCCTTCAACACTTTCTATCCCATCCCTCCCATAAGCCCTTGTGGCCCTTACACCTGATCCTAGTCCCCTATAATCCTCTCTTTCTCTCTTGTTTTTTCACTGTTTCTTGTTGGGAGCTTTTGAACTTGATTATTATCGCCTTTCTCCATTGGAATAACTACTTTTAGTTTAAAATGGTTAAAGTTTTTTGTGCTAAGGTTAAGATCGTATTTTCAAATTTGAAAGGGTTATGAATAGAGACTGAAATAAAGACCAAATAATGAAATGATTGGAAGAAACAAACTAAATGTAGATACACAGTTTACTAGCAAATTTTCAACTACCATGTTGAACTAGTCTTTTTCTTGTCTTATGGCAGGTCGGAATAACAGATGACTTTGACTACTTAGAGTTGCCAGCAGTGGTTCCTCTTGCAGTTACTGAGGGTGAACTTTAATTGTCTGTAAGCTAGTTTGACATATGCTTTCCTTGTGTTCTTTTACCTTTTATTATGTTTGTTCTTTCCAGTGGTATCGGAGTTGGTTCTTGCTTTAATAATTTGAATGATCTTTAAAAGCATTGTCATATATGTAGTCTGGGCAGCTTAATAGCCATAATTTTGATTAGCATTATGAATGTGCTTTCACTTTACCATGTTTCAGTATGTCTGGATATCTTATTCTCTCCCGGAAAATAGATTTCTCCAGAAAAGATTGTGAGTTCAATTCATATTTTCCCCTCATGATTCCTCAAAATCTCGTGCTAGAGGATATTGTGACACTGACCCATATAGAAAATTGTTTGTGGATGCTATCATACTAGATGAGGAGATTTTATTGATTGATTAATTCAAATTTACATTAGATAGATAGGTGTCATTTCGTCGTGTTATTTTATCTTGACACCAAAGTACTTTATGCAATATTAAAGAAATCCGTCAATTTGGGGGATGGAACTACTGATTAACGGCTGAATAAAAGTTCCAATAATTGAATTAAAGTCCCAATAACGGTTATTAGCCAGCTACAAAAACGTCAAAAAAGGAACGACCAACTCTATTTTAAAATTTGAAAAATTAAGGAAGGAATATATAGGACAAACATTCATGTTTGGCAAGTGGCAAGTGGGGAAGGAATTTTCATTAATTGGAATAGGTCCACAAATTATTTTTTCTACTGTACAACTCAAAACAATCTGTACTCATAACGTGCATTGAATCTCAACCTTACACCTGTCCCTTTATTAACGGCTAATAAAAATTTCTTATTATTGAATCTTTTCCAAATTGGAAAGAAATTTAATTTGACAGAGTGTATACTGAGTGGAGATCCTTTACAACCAAAATTTCATAAAATAAAAAATGAAGGAAATAAGGGATTAAAAATTCCCTTCCTTATTTATAAAACCCCAATTTTTCTTTTTTAGTGAAAACAAACATTAAAAGAGTCTCAACTCTCAAGAAAGAAGAAAAAATGGAGGTGTTGAGACTCTGTTTAATGGCTATTTTTGGTTTGGTTATGGCTTTGGTTATTCCTTCTATCAATGCTCAAGTACCTGAGCCTGCTCCTGCTCCGACAAGTGATGGTAAGTTCTTTCTTCACCCCCTCCCCCTCGGTGTTTAATATCTGTATTGGAGCATGACCAAGGAACAAACTCGAGACCTCTAGTCAAGGGAGAAATAGTTCTTATTTGAGTTTTTATAATAATAATGTATGAATGAACAATTCTTGATTTGATAATAGATCTAGGATTTATAAGCAATAGTACCACTTATATGTATAGTATATAAGAGAACATGTTGTGATGTACATGATACATACATTGCCTATACACCTTTTTTTGGTTTAACCATATGGTATATTTGAGGTTTACTAGCCGATTAATTTAGATTCGCATGAGTAGGCTTATGAGTGGATAAAATGCTCACTATTAAAGAATTTTTCATTCTCAAGTTTCGAACTCGATATTTCTGATTAAAGATGCAGAAAATTTCACTAATTTGGATTTGCCTTGAGTGGCCCGTGAAGGGATAACGTGTTTTTTACCAAGACGAACTAGTTTTTGTGTTTTGAAGTTGAAATTTCTAGATAAAGATATATGAATTTCAATCATCCCACCCTACCCCTTGATTGTCATTGTGGGTTATAAGATTAGGTTTCATTAGCATAAATTCATGTTTTTTTATTTTATATAAAATTCTATGTTTTGGTAGACATTCATTTTATTTTTTTCAAAAATGCAAATATTAAATGTGTTTTTGTTGATTTGATTTTTGCAGGAGTTGCAATTGACCAAGGTATAGCTTATGTGCTAATGTTAGTTGCTTTGGCAATTACTTATATGATTCATTAGGCAATGCGATACAGCTTCCATTGCAGTTTTTTTCTTATTATTTTTTCTAGTTGTGATTAATTTTTAAAGAAATTAATTTCGTTCTCTTGTATTCTTTTTAGAGGTTGAAATTTTCTATTTTCTTTTATTCAATTATTAAATCGTAGAAATTCTTTATACCTTCCCTTTCTTTTCCATTGTATATGTTCTTTTTATTTGTTTCTATGCAATGTCTTGTATATTGTTTTGTCCACAAAGAGCGGGAGTTGAGATTTTTATTAAAAAAATCGAAGCAAACATGTTTTTTTGTTACGTATTTACATAATTAATTTTTTCGATGAAAAAGTGCCCCCTTAAACAAGAGCCTTAAAGAAGAGTAGCTCTACCCTTGTTTGCAATTTACTAAGGAAAAGAAGAATTGTATAATAATAGAAGTATACATATGAGAAATTATGATCAAAGATTTCTTTACTAACCGCAAATAAATTTCTACAAGTTTTGCTTAGATAAACAAAAAGTGATATCTTTCAATTAGTGAATTAGATAGGATTCATTTGTCTAGAATAAGAAATGTTTGATCAAGTGGATCAATTTTCATAAATGTTGTCATCAAAATGACATTTGTACAAAAAAATTGCAAAGAAAAGGCAAACAAATAAAAACCTATGTTTTTTGAATTCTTTAAAAATATCGTGTAGAATACTTCAAAAGTAGTACATTTTAATTACAGAGGCACAACCACTAGGCGTTTGGCGGTTCTATTCTAAATTTCCTTCCCCTTTCTTACCAATGAGCTGTCAATCAGTTTTGTTATGGATTCACAAGTTAATACATATATATTTACTTAATTTTCTAGTACAAATACAAGGCCTATGGAAAAGGGATCGAGTTCGTCTAAACTCACGAACTCCCACCTAGCTTCACCCCTGATTTTAAATCAGATATTTTGGAGTGTCAAAGCAACGTATATGAAAACTAATCTTCAGTGATTCACCAGATATTTTAGACCATTTCTTGATTTGTGCTTTGTCAAACATTGGGCAAGGGCCATGCTAACAACATCACTAAACACAAATAGCATAAAGTTTTTTTGAGCATGGACCACAAATGGTAATGTTTTCATGAAAATCTCAATTTTCTGCAACAAATCTAAATATACAATGACCCTTATAGATCTAAAGATATGTGAAAGCACATTGTTCGTACTCTTCAATAAAAGCATTGGATGCATGTTAAATCCTTCAAAATAAGTATTTTTTTGTAGTATCTGATACGGGTATAACAATATTAATGAAGAGTCCAAAACAACAATGATGATCTCACTTAAGTCTTTAAAAAACACTCATTGCTCACTTTTTTCACCAATCATCTTGTCCATATCAATAATTTTCTTGTGATGAATTTAATATTTATACCTATGTAATAAATTTATCTTCATAATACTTTTTTATCAATAAAACATGAAAATATTGCAAAATATCTTCTTTTTTTCATTCGATGTCTGATACACATATTGAAGTTGGATTAATTTAGATTCATGTGCCCTGTAGGTAGGGGTGTTTACGGTTTGGATAAAAACCGATCCAAACCGAAAAATCGAACCAAATCGATAAAATAAAATCGATTTTATTTGGGTTTGGTTTGGTTTGGTTTGGTTTTAGATTTTTGAAAACCGATAGTATTTGGTTTGGTTATGGTTTTATTCGAAAAAATCGAAGAAATAACTGAACCAAACCGATGAATTATATACATATATTTTATTAATATACATACTTAATATATTATTTTTATAAACAATTTTAAAGATCTTATATATGTTTTCATTATAATTTACTTATTGAAAGCAAAAATTCCCAAGGTGAAAATATTTATTTTATTGATTTCATGTATAAGAGTGTCTGTGACAATTCTTTGTGGGACTGAAAATGTTAATGTTTTTTCCTTCTAAGCCAATATCGTGAATTTTAAAGCTTTAATCATAATAAATTCAGTGATCAAAAGTTCAATAATTTCAGTCATTCTAACTATTTTTTTGTTTTGAATGGATTGTTGTCACTTTTTTCACATTTTGAATGATTTTTTTCTTTTATTTTTGTTTATGGTTAATAACCGAATAACCGAACCAAACCAAACTGAAACCGATAAATGTATATTATATTTGGTTTGGTTTTGATAATTTTAAAACCGATTAAGTTGGTTTGGTTTTGGTTTTGATCAATAACCGATCCAAAATTCCAATCCAACTCGTGAACACCCCTACCTGTAGGGCCTCATTCATGTTCATACCAAGACTCGAACCTGAGATTTCTAGTTAAAAGAGAAGCAAGTCTCATCCGCTGCATAGCATCAAAACATTTCTAGTGTTCCCTCACCAAACACACCCTTATGGCTAGTCAGCTAGATTCTGATTCTGAATTCCCCAAACTACAAGTCAAAAGGGGCAAAAAAGAAGTAGATTTATTTTTTCAAGAACTCAACATTTTTCAACCAAATAATTTCTCATGGGTTTCTTGAAATGGGTTGTTGCCTTTTCCATTCTATGCAATTTTTTAGCAACACCCACCTTATCAATTTCTTCTTTTTTGAACAAAGAGGAGTTTGCAAATATATCAGTTAATTTCTTGAATCTTGCAAAAAGACCTGAGCTTTTTGATTGGATAGTGAGAATTAGGAGGACTATTCATGAGAATCCTGAGTTGGGGTTTGAGGAATTTGAGACTAGTAAACTTATTAGAAATGAGCTTGATAAAATGGGGATTTTTTACAAGTACCCTGTTGCTGTTACTGGTGTGGTTGGTTTTATTGGAACTGGAAAACCACCCTTTGTTGCTCTGAGAGCTGATATGGATGCTCTTGCTATGCAGGTGTTTTACCAATAACTAGTTTTTATGTGTATTTCTTAAATGTGTGTGTATATTCATTTCTTGTAATGTTTTAGTCATGTTAGTATTTTTTGTTATTTTGCAATTATATTGGTTTGAAATGAGCTTAAATGGAGTGACATGGTCTGTGTGGATTCATATAGTTGACACTAACTTGGTGGGGATTGAGGTGTAGTTGTTGTTGTATTCCTTTCTTGTCAATGTTATAGTCATGTTAGTATTTAATTTTTTTTGGTCTGAGATGAGCTTAAATGGAGTGACATGGTCTACGAGGATTCAATTAGGTGACACTAACTTGGTGGGGATTGAGGCGTAATCGTTGTTGTATACTTGTATTCCTTTCTTGTCAATGTTTTTTCAGTCATGTTAGTTATGTTTTTCTTATTTGGCAATTATATTGACCTGCGATGAGCTTAAATGGAAAGATATGGTATGTGAGGATTCATATAGTTGACACTAACTTTGTGGGGATTGAGGTGTAACCACTGTTGTATTCCTTTCTTGTCAATTTTATAGTCATGTTAGTACTTTGTGTAATTTGGAATTATATTGTTTTGAGTTGAGCTTAAATGGCACGACATGGTCTGTGAGGATTCATACAGTTGACCCTAACTTGTTAGAGATTGTATGTTTTATGTGCATTTCTAAATGTCTGTACATATATTCATTTATTGTCAAGGTGTTAGTCACTTTAGTACTTTTTTTTTTAAGATTGCAATTATGTTGGACTGAGATGATCTATAATGGAGTGATATGGTCTCTGAGGATTCATGTAGCTGACCCTAACTTGTTGGAGATTGAGGCGGAGTTGTTGTTGTATTCCTTTCTTGTAAATGTTCTAGTCATGTTCTTTTTTTCTTCTTTTGCAATTATATTGGCATGAGATGAGCTTCAATGGGGTGACATGGGCTGTGAGGATTCGTATAGTTGACCCTAACTTGTTAAATATTGTTGTTGTATTCCTTTCTTGTCAATGTCAGATAGTTTAGACAAATGACAATGTGAGGTTGATCTGCCTTATTGTATATATTGATAATTTGTGGTAGATGTTTGTAACAATATGTTTTCTTTTGGGGGGAGGGGAACTCTAGATGTAAAACTCTAATATGTAACTTATTTGTGTTGCACTTTGCCTTCAATATGTTGTTGATTGGCGCAGGAGGAAGTGGACTGGGAACACAAGAGTAAAATTCCGGGCAAGATGCATGCTTGTGGACACGATGCCCATGTTGCTATGCTTTTAGGTGCTGCTAAGATTCTTCAGGAGCAGCGCGATGATTTGCAGGTTCATACTGTAGTTCTCTCTCTTTGCTTGGATTGAATCAGGGGAAGTTGCTCAATAGATAAACGTTCAGTAGTTGCTCTCAGTTACCTTTTGATATATAGAAGTTGTAGATTGTCGATAGTTCTGTTTAGAAGGGTTATCTGGACCTATGTTGCTCGGACTCTTCAAAAATGTTATCGGGTGCGTGTTGGATTCTCCAAAAGGTTTGCATTATTAGAGAATCCGACATTGGGTGCAGAAGCATTTGGAGAGTTCGAGCAGCATAGTTCTAGACCTTAATATCTTCATTCAACTGACTTGGTCCACTTGTTGCTATGGCATTTCAAACTGATTTAAGTGGATTAAGAACTCCTTGGTTAGTCGGATAACTTATACCATAAGCAATAACGCTTATGTAGCTTGTTGTGAAGATATTAGCGGCGTGTTCAAGGATTAAACAGTGGGATCAACATATATGAATAACCATGGATGTTTTTGAGTTGGGAGTCGGGGATTGACAGATCGAATTTTTGATGGCAGGGAACTGTTCTTTTGGTTTTTCAGCCAGCCGAGGAAGGAGGTGGTGGTGCAAAGAAAATGCTTGAATCTGGGATACTTGACAATGTTGATGCCATCTTTGGTCTGCATGTTTCCCCCATAAGTCCTATTGGCACAGTTGCTGCCAGTTCTGGCCCTATCATGGCTGGAAGTGGCTTCTTTGAGGCAGTAATAAAGGGGAAAGGCGGTCATGCCGCAATTCCTCAGCACACTATAGATCCAATATTAGCAGCTTCTAACATCATAGTTAGCTTACAACATCTTGTTTCGCGGGAAACTGATCCCTTGGATTCACAGGTGCGCGCTCTCACGCTCTCTCTCTCTTTCTCCTTAATCTTAGTATCATGTGAATACCAACACATGCAAATAAATCTCAAAACTTGCATATGTTCTAGTAGTTGTGCAAAGCTTATTTATACAACCACCACTACTACACCTCAGTTCCAAGCAAGTTGTAGGGTCGGCTATGTGAATCCTTACTGATCATGTTACTCTAACTAAATTCATCTCAAGCCAATATTATATGCAAATGTACGCAAGTTGTCTATATTTTTCTAAATTTCCGAAAGGCTAAACCACTCCTAAACATTGGACCTACAATAAAAGTACTTACATGTCTAAACCATATTCTCGACTAATAGTTATCGTCTATATAGATCTTTTTCTTCCACTATATCCTATGTTTCGCTAAATGTGCATGGATCGATCCCAAGAAATTGTAGATTCTTCGAGACAATTTCCTTTCATGTGATTTTAGGTTTACTATCCTATCTTTCGCTAAATGTGCATGGATCCCAAGAAATTGTAGATTCTTCGAGACAACTTCTTTCTATGTGATTTTAGGTTTACCTCGTCCTTTTTTTAACACATTCACTCACCATGGTTTCACTCACCTACCCGTGCATCGGGAGGTAGTCACAGGACATGACCAAATCATCTCAAATGATATTCTATCAATTTATACTCGATATGTGCTACTTAAACCTTCTTATGAATGTGATCATTTCTAATCTTGTATGACTGCACATTTATCTTAGCATCCTCAATTTCTTGGGATCGATGCAGAAGTGTCATATGGAATAGTAACGCTTATAAAATAAACATAATCATTTTAAATGTTCAAGAACAAGACTCATACCTTTTTCATTCTCCAAGGACTTTACTTTGACCTTTACAACTTATGTATCGATTACCTCAAAGGTGTATGATTTTGCAGGTCGTTACAGTTGCAAAGTTCAAAGGTGGTAGTGCGTTTAATGTTATACCCGACTCTGTAACAATCGGTGGAACTTTCAGGGCATTCTCAAAAGAAAGCTTCACACAACTTAAACAGAGAATCGTAGAGGTATACTTTCAATATTTGTACTTGAATGCCCAAACTATCATATGATAGTTGAAGGTTGTTCCATGGAAAGAATGTGCTATGACTATTGAATGGTAAAAACTCGACTTGTTGAGTGAAAAATTACACTGTTTATTTTCTACGTGTGTCTAATTCTTTTATATTGTGTCACCCCTTAGTAAAATTCATGGCTCCGCTACTGTTGGAAACAATTTACAGGTTATCAAACGACAAGCTGCTGTACAAAGGTGCAATGCAACAGTTGATTTTGACATAAAAAATAGGCCGTTTTACCCGGTGACAGTGAATAATAAAGCTTTGCACGAACAATTCCGAAATGTAGCTGGACAGATGCTTGGTATCGACAAGATCATAGAAATGAAACCAACGATGGGGACAGAAGATTTTTCGTTCTTTGCTGAGGCTATTCCTGGATACTTTTACTTCCTTGGAATGGTTGATGAAACTAAAGGACGATTCGAGTCAGGACACTCCCCTTTCTACAGAGTCAATGAAGATGCACTTCCATATGGTGTTGCTTTACATGCATCGTTAGCCACGACTTACCTTCTTGAACATCAGCTAAAATCAACCACTCGGGATCAAAATGTTCATGACGAGTTGTAAGGTCCTCTGGGAGAGTGGAGACCTCGCAGATGAAAATAATTTCTACTACATGCAGCCGAGCAGAAATTGGTTCCTCTCTTTCTATTTACTTGATATCTATCTAAGCTTGTCCCAAATCAAGTTAGTGTTGGAGCTAGTTTGGTTGATCATCATCCAAAAAAAGGTTATTGCCATCAGTGGTGCTATTGCCTATTGGTGAGTCATGAAGAATCTTGATCTCGTCACATAGTTATTTTCTCTTTTCAATGTGATTGATATAAACGACCCCAACTTATTTGGGACTGAGGTATAGTTGTTGTACGCTATTGATATTGAATCCCCATTGTGCTTCTCTAAGGGTACCCATAGAGACAACTGAATTGCAAACAACGTAGTTTCTTGCTTATACATTCTCTTTTTTTAGCTGAATGTATAGCTATGTTATCGATGACATAGGGTGAAACATCTCCCAAACACCCAAAAATGGTGTTGAATTTCAAGAGATGAATTATGTTAACTTGTATTAGTTTCTTTCTAGGCTAAATGGTCTGGTGAACCCTTGTACTTGTACCCGTTTGTATTGTGAATCCTTCTACTTACCCCTTTGTCATCTGAACCCCCGAACTCATTTAAAGTCAACATGTTGAACCCTTTCAACTCATCATGACTCTCAATCGCGCTGATATCACATTCTATGTAAGATAAATTTTGCCACATCATTTTTTATTTTTTATAATAATTTCTTTTTGGACAAAAAATCATAAAGTTTTGATTCAAACTTTACAAAAAAAAGATTAATTATTCTTCTAAATTAAAATTTTGGGTCTCCCTACATCATTTGCCATTTTCACCGTGAAAAGGCCCAGTTGCCAAAGAAATTTGCCGTTGCCACCACTCCTCTTGCCGGCGAGACCACAAATACTCTCTCCCTCATCTGTCTTCGTCGCACACTTTCACCATTTTTGTTACCTCATCCTTCTCCAACCTCCAAAAACCATAAGCCATTGCACCAGCTCCTTGCCCCTCTCCACTGTCTTCCTTTTTCCATACCATCGACGACTCCTGCGAACCACCAAGGACCCCTATGCTCTCCATCCTCTCTGGTGTACCAGAAGGCCAGAAAATTTCTCATTGCCTCCGGTGTACTAGCATACTCCTCGCCGCCTCTCTGGTGTACAAGACCACCTAAAGAAGATGAAAGAAAGAAAAAAAGAGGGTTGGAAAAAAAATGGATATGGCTGAAAAAAGTGGGTCGTTGGGTGAAGAAGAAGGGTTTCAATTTTCTTTTTTTATGTTTATTATTTTACTCTTTTAATTTAAATATTTTTAAAATTTAAATATGATGTTCACTTGCCTTAATAGGCGTGTGGTCTCACTCTCTTGCCAACTCAATCATATTAATGCCACATAAGCATGGTCAACGATCAAAAGGACTTGATATATTGCGTTTTATTATGTAAGGGTTCAAATGACAAAGGGGTAAGTAGAAGGATTCACAATAAAAACAGGTACAAGTATAGGTATCCACCAAACCATTTTGCCTTCTTTCTATGATAAGGTACAATATTGTATTAATGTTTAGAACCACTGAACCAATAAGGTAACACAAGTATAAAGGGAACTTAACCCATAAACTTCAAATTTTGGATCCCCATATACTTGCAGAGTGTATTTTTTACCAACCAAATGCTGTCGAAAATGCCTACCAAATGAAACTATCAGAATGATCCCACTGAACTAATAGAACATCATAAGGTAACCTCTGTACCGAAACATTCTATCATGTTTATCTGCTCTACTAGCATAGCAAGAGCAACAAGGATGACTCCGAGAATCATCAAACTATTAATAGCATACCAAGAATAAAAATGATAGAGAAGTATAAAAGACGGAAGGATAAAATTCAATTAATTCTTGCAAAACAGAACGTAATCATTCATCCTACAAACACCAGTAATAAGCTAGTCTTCTCTCATTATGAGGTTTGAGAATCAAAATTTATAAACATCACAAAGATGAAAACTTTTGAAGCAGTAACTTCTCAACCTAAAGTAACTGAAGTTCTCGTCTACTTCTCAGAAGAGTTTGGTCCTCTCTTCTTTCCAAAGCCAACAACTGCAAGCAGACATAAGCAGCAATCCATAAGAAACAAATTTCATATGTCAAAAAGAGAAGCTTCAAAAAGTTAACAAGCATAATAAAGCACACATACAAGTATCAACCTAATACAGATAAAAGGTAAACACAAAAGAAACATCACAGCCACTTGTTCATTAAAAAATCCAACAGACTCAATGCTAGAATCATACAATGATGGGAAGAGAAATAGGAAACCTCAAATTAAACACCACGGATACTTTACAGAAGATCTGCAATCAGATCTCTCATCTAGAATACTACTTAGTAGCAGAGATGCAGGAAAAACTTAGGCGGATTAGGGAGATATCCTTTAAGGTAAAATTTCCCCAGAACTTTTATAACCAGCATACAAGCATATAATTATTATACTCAAGTATCTGCACGTCTAAGTGAGGTACATAAGCACTTTGAAAACACATTTAGTCTCTGAACATCATTGTGTATGTCTACAGATGTTAACAGTTACATTACTTGATTCTTTAAAAGAAGAAACGAAGTAGTATATCACTGTGTTAAGATCATATACTGCACTTAAAAGAAACAGATGAACTCAAACTAAACCACAGAGATATTATATACATTATAAAGATGTGACAGTCCCCAAAGTAGACTAGAATGCTTAATAGCTAAGATTCAAAGGTTTATTAGGGAGGTTCCATACAAGGTGAAATTTAATTTAGAACATACATACACCAGCAAAGCTGCTTCTACAGAAATGAACAATCTTGAATACTCAAGTATATGGACCATGCATAAGTGATTTGTACAGAGACACAGACACACACATACTCTTATGTATAATTGTGTGCGACTACAGTTGATTAACAGATCGAATCTGGTTTAAGCTTTCCCTAATCTTGAAATGGATGTGTTAATGTCAACTAATATACATTTGGCAAATTCATATACATTTGCATGTGCAGATGGATACCACAGAAACAATAAAAAAAATTAAGCTAGAAGGTATTGTGTACCAATGAAACAACTACTACTTCCAGACAAAAGATTAAAACTTGGTTAAAGGCGTAAACTTTATTAGTTTTTACTTACATATAGGCATAAATTTAATTAGTTTTTACTTGAATATACAATTCAAGCATGAGGCAGTAAACATCCATTCATAAAGTGAAATAACAAAAGGAAAGCAAGGTTACCAGCAGTAACGAATCTGCGATTGTATTGCATACGCTTGTGTGCACGTCCTCTTGGCTTCTTCTTCTTATCCTGCTTTGCAACCTTTGGTGTTTGCCCCCTAACCTTACCGGCACGAGCAAGTGATCCGTGAACCTTACCTACAATTAACAATATCAAAAACTACAAATCAATCCTCATTCAACAACAACAACAACTACAACAACATCCGTCCCAATTTAACTGTCTTTGCTTCCCTTTGTCCACTCTACATGACAAATTTAAGATCACAACATTCAAAATTCCGTCTTTATTTCCTAAAACTCCGTGCACAGTTAAATTAAGACACTTAAATTGGCTATATGATCTTCTATGTGGATGAAGATCCATTAATTATAGTTCCATTACACTACGGAATAATTGTACCTATTCTGAGAAAAAATGGCAAAAATTGAAAAAACTGACAATGAAGAGAAATGTATTTAAGAGTCGCCGGAGCTTACCCATGGTTGATTTCTGAGTCGCCGGTCGTCGGAGAAGCTGCGAATCGTTTGGAAGCTGCAAAAGTTGGAATACTAGGGTTAGGGTTTTTGGGAGAGTTGAATTTATAGGGAAGCTTTTAAGGCGTGAAACTGTACTGGGCCTTTGTTGTGAAAAGTTGGGCCTTAGGTAAAGAGTCCAAACGATGACCCGAAGCATGTGATCCAATTGGAAAATTAATTGGCCCGATCGACTGAAAATAATTACATGTATAACTTACGGAAATCTCATATATTTGGGGGCTAATTACATCATATCCAGGAATTTTTCCAATTACAAAATCTCAAAATTTCCATTGCTCTCGGATACATTCATTGGTTGTCTGATACATTACTTAATAGGAGGGATGTATTTGAGAGAGAAGATAGAGATGTATTCAAGAGAAGATAGAGATGTATCCGAGGGGGATAGGAATGTATTCAAGAGGATATAGATGTATCTGAAAGTAGGGTTGTTCATGGTTATGGTTACAAAATCAAACCAAACCAAACCACAATCTTAACCAAACGATTTAAAAACCCAATATTTTGGTTAGGTTTGATTTTAAATTTCGAAAACCGATACTATTTGGTTTAATTTTGATTTCACTAAAAAAATCGCAAAAATAACCAAATCGATCTGAAAAATTATATATATAAATTTTATAATTATTATATTATTCATAAGTAAAATATAAATATTTTGTTAAATTTTAATTAATTTTAAGTCTTTAACTTTATCATTTTTAAGCCCAACTATTAAAATCCTAAGAGCAAGTCCATCAAAATTCGTTATTTTAGTCTTGCCTATCATAGTTCACATCAGATAGTCATACATTCTCTAGATTGAATCATTTTGTTCGTGTAATATTAAGTTATTAACTCTAGTGTTGTTTAATTAAATCCACAGTAGCTTTTCGATGGACTTCTCATGTACTAGGTGTCTATGTCTATCGAGATGGTATGCCCTCAACAAATTTATTATTTTCAAATCGAAAAAATGAACCAAACCGACACTAATCAAACCGATAGCTATTTTTTTCGTTGGGTTTGGTTTGGTTTTTGAAATATAAGAACCGATTAAATTGGTTTGATTTTGGTTTTAACCAATAACCGATTCAAATCGAACCATGAACACCCCTATTTGAGAGGGGATGGAGATGCATCTGAGAGGATAGGGATGTATCCGAAAGGGGATGCAATGTGTCCAAGAGGGAATTTTGTAATTTTTTTTAAATGATAGGAAATTTTAGAGATTGTGATATATTAAGTTGTGTATTTATGTAATTTTTCCTAATTACATTGCTAGTGAAATATACAAAATATATATATTGGCTATTATTTTAATAGATGGCTATTTATGTTAATTGCTCCTTTCTCTCCCTCTTTTTCATTTTTGTTAGATTTATAATTTATATATTTGGTCCTATAGAGTATAGTTAATTCTCAATACTATTTTCTGGTTCTAAATGCTTGATGCAATTTTTGTTGACATATTTGTAATTTTTCCTGTTTTATATGTTCAATAGTCGAGATGTATTAAATTTTTATACTTTATTGATTTTGATAAAAAAAAAAAAAAAACTATATTGAATGTCATAAAACAAAATTGATGTACTTATATTTTATTACCGTATTTAGATTTGTCTTTTTAGTGTATTAGGGCGATTAAAATATTTCTTTATAACTCTAGTTCTTATTATCATCATTTGTTATAGATTGAATTAATAAAGAAGTATTTTGATTGTAATAATATGTTAAGGATTGAAATAATGTACAGTTAAATTCTCTTTCATCATTGAAACACGACCTCTCTATCATATGTTTTTTCATATATAAGTCAATGATGTCTTAAACTATAGGTGACAATAATCTCTATAATGTTATATTTATGTGTTCACATGCTTCATTCACTTGTTGTTGCTTTGTTTATGTCAAGTAGGGTTGCATATCGGTCGGTTCAGTTCGGTTTTGAAGTTTATCGATTTGGCTTATTGATTATCGGTTTGTAGAGATGCTAAACCGTTATAGAACCATTAAGATATTGGCTTATCGGTTATCGATTTTTGATCGTTATCGATTTAACAGTTAAAATTTGTCACACAAAAAAAAACATTGAAAATCACTTGGAAACAAGGTGACAAACCAAATAAACCATGCACATGAATTCACAAGTTACATCTTGCTAAAAAACAAATACTTTTACGTTGTAGAATAACCAAGTGTTTGAGACAACAAAAAATAAAAGTAGGAAACCAAACTCTAAATCAAGTACCTAATATACAAAATCGTGTAAATATAACTATTTAATTTACTATCGGATTATCGGTTAACCAAGAACCGATAACACGATAACAAAAAAAATCAAAACCGTTATCAAAACTGCTAAACCAATAACCCAATACTGATAAACCAATAACTTTTTTTCGATTCAATTTTGAACAGCCCTATTCAAGTCTTTCATGCTACTTATACGATTCATATGCTTTCACTTAAGATGTCTATTGTATCCATTTGATAATATCTCATGTCTTCGTCGAAGATGTTCATGTACTTTTATTTGAACTATCTATTTTCTTTGTGTTAAATACCATACGTGAATGCATTGAGCGTCACTTGTAAATCATTCTCAATAAATACAACTTGTAAGTCACATTCCATGAATCCATGTCCAAGAAATACAATTTATAAACCACATTCATCATTCGTGACTTAAATTTCTCAATTCCACAATATTATACCTACTTCTAATTTGTGTCTGAAGTTATCGATTTAAAATCAAATTGATTTTAAAGTTGAATTATTTATTAGAACATCCAATTTGAATCTCATAATTGATACCTTGCTCTTAAATATTAAAACCCTTTGATTTATGTGAACTATCAAAATTTTCCTAACTCTTGCAATATTATATCAAATGAACTACTTATAGTTAAAAAACAAAATAGCAAAATATCATAAAAGGTCATATTTATAAATATCACATTTCTATGTCTCTTTTATAAATAAATATTTGTGATTATATATCACCACAAACGATACGATACAATTAAATTTGAGTAACGATAAAAAGTAAAATATTATATTTAAACTAACATTACAATACAATACGTGTAACGCAAACCTTCCAAACAAGTTGTTATACGTGTCACGCTTATATAGCAAACCACATCATATTACAGTAGATCCTATATATAGGATATCTTCCCCCAATCGGTAAAAAAATAAAATACTTAGCAAAAACAAAAAACCGAACAGTTAATTAAAAAAAATAGTAATAGTTCCAATTAGAGACCGGAGAGAAGAAGAGACGGCACCGGAAAAATGGATTTGTTGCCGGCGGAATCATCACCGATACTGCCGAAGAAGCACAGATTTCGTTCACTGAAGCTTGTAAATGTGAATATGGATGAAGTATTATCGGAAACGCCGCAAGGGGTTGAATACGGGAAGCTCGAAAATGGGTTAACTTACTATGTCCGATCCAATTCTAAACCGAAAATGAGAGCTGCACTTGCACTTGCTGTGAAAGCTGGGTATGCCCTAATTGTGTTTTTGAATACCTCTTTATGTTGTTAGTTAGTTAGTTTGTTTTTACAATTGTGTGATATATACTGTGATTGATTTGTGATTTTTGACTGTACACTGGTTTGTTTATGATAAGAGTGTTGTGCAAGTTTTACCGTGTTTGTATGTTTGTGTTATTCCATGTCGAATGAGAGGATTGAGTTGCACCATGAAAATTGAACAATTTTTCTATCAATGCCAACCCCAATTATTTTTTAATTTTGATAAATGTGGTGTATGTGCTGTGCACCTCAACTAATTTCACGGAATACATGTCACGTTCCACTAGCAACAGGTACTAGGACCAGGTAACCATGTCCATCAAGGATAGGATAGATGGGAAGAATGCCAACCCCAATGAACAATAGATTGGATTAAGCTATGTAAACTGATATTGAAAATTATTTTTACTTTGAGTATTGGGTTAACTTATTATGTCTGATCCAATTCTAAACTCAAAATGAGAACTGCACTTGCTCTTGCTGTTAAAGCTGGGTATGTCCTATTTTTAAAAAATACCCTTTATGTTGTTAATTTGATTTGATTAATCCCTTTTAGTTTGTTTTTACGATCGTATAATTCTTTTACTGTTCATGTGTTGTGCGTAATTTGTGTTTTTATCGTACACTAGTTTGTTTGATAGAGTGTTGTGCAAGTTTACTGTGGTTGTCTGGTTATTTTACTCAAATGTTGATAATGTGGGGGCTGGTAGCAGCAAGAAAATTGAACAATTGTCTAGCAAAGCCAACCCCAATTAACAATATTTGATTGGATTAAGTTATGTAAATAATTTTACTTCAAGAAATTCCTAATTGTCTATCTATCTCTGAGATATTTGTATTTTTTAAATTTAATGGATACACAAGCGATAGAGCTTTCACTTGTTCAAATACTAGCAATTTAGGTGAAGCAGGGTTCTTTCTAGATCTAGCTAAAAGGATGTGACAATATGCAAAGACAAAATGCGTCACCTTATAGAAATTTCTCCCTCCCTTAGTCCCTTCCAATTTGTTTGTTTTACTTTCTTTTTAGTCCATTTAAAATGAACGTCTCTTTTATTTTTTGGCAACTCTTTAATTTCACCATTCCGCATTGCATGTTACATTTTGGTACTTTCTATATATCTCTAGTTTAAGACCACAAGATTCAAAAATCTTCTTTACTTTCTTAAACTTCGTGCCAAGTCAAAATCATACAAACAAATTAAAATGAAGGGAGTAATAGTTTTAGCTTGCGTTTGGACATGCACTATGAATTCATGACATGTTTTGGAATTCCAAATCATGGTGCCCCCAAGGCCTAGCTCGAGTGGAAAAAGGTGGAAGATTTGTGGCTTAGGTCGCAGGTTCAAGCCCCACACCACGCAAAGCGATGCCTTGTATTTAAGTGGAGAAGGGTAGAGGGGCGGGCCCATTATCCACCAAGTTTAGAAGGTTGTGATTGGTCCAAACGGATTTCTCGGTTATCAAAAATAAAATAAAATTCCAAATCATGATTTCAATTTTTTTAAAGGTATAACTTGACCCATACGTTTATT